TATACAACCAAGTTTCGTTAAGATGCACAGACGATTTCTTTTTTTCATTCTGATCGTTTATGTATAAGTTTGTCTATATCTATCTCGATTCGTTATGCCTGTTACCATGGGCGTAGCCAGGTAGGGGCAGGGGGGTGCTCGAGCCCTTCCGCCCCCCCCAAACTTTCAAATTTTCCTTATATATATATAAAATAGTACCCTGAAATGCCAGCTTAATAGGGTCGAGCCCCCCCCCTAAATTTCATTCTGGCTACGCCGATGCCTGTTACAAACAATCGTTATGTGAACAAAGTTATAATACCCTTGTTCACATGTGCACTCGGGTATAAAAATAGGAGTACATTTTTTTCGGTATAGAACACCCCTATGGGATGAGAGCATAAAATTCCGACTTTACTTTTTCACATGCACTTTTAGACTACCCTACGGTACATATGTATGTATGTATGCAAGGGTATGTGCCTACATGAAAGTAGTTATATGGGCATGTAGAAAACCACGCCTGTTATCAAGGACAAATGCGTCTGATGAGGTTGTCAGTGAGCAGCCCTGAACTTGTCCTATAGAGACGCACTTGCACAGGCTTATATACATACATATACACATGTACACACATAGTTTCACGGAAGCACACTGCTACATTCAAATAATTCCCTGGACCATATACACATTGAATGCACCCAACCAATGCAACAATTCCAAGAGTACAATTTCATACAACTTTGTTGTGAATTCTCATTATTTTTTAAGCCAAGAGAGAGAGACACTACTGCATACAAAGTAACATTACAGTATTAGAAAATGTCTGCTGTTAAACGAGGTTGTGTGCATTAGTGCAACAGTGATGGTTGGTATGCGAAAGAATGTTGCAACAATAGGCGGCATTTTATCTAGCTTTTATTTTACAAATCTGTTTTTGGAATAACGACACTTGTATACCTGGATTTCAGCAATAAGTATTGAAAATGTCCTTTTAAAACTTTATCCTTCCTCCTTATATCCTGGAAAATTTCCAATATTTATTTTTGAAAAAAATATATGTCAAAGCCTAGTATGTTAACTACCACATCCTCGAATTTCGTCCTTCTAACTTTATTAGTTTTAAATAAATGTAAAATGTACACTTCTCTTTATAAGATACCACCACTACATACACCCGAAAACAGGGTCCGAGAACACGTTCCGTTCCGGTCTTGGTCTTGTGACGAGCACAAAATGCAATGTCAGAAACGTTTCCCAAAAGAATGAAACGGGAACAAAAGTATTGAGTGCAATTTGAACGGAAGCGAAATGAGAACAAAAGGTACGGGAACGTTTCCGTAAAGAACAAAATGCAAACAAAACTCTCGGGAATGTTCGCAACAAGAACATAATCGGAACTAAACTTTCGGAAACGTTTTCAATGTGAGCAAAGTAAGAACGAAATTATCAAGGAGGATCAAATAAGAACAAAAGCCTTTGAAACATTCTGCTAGAGAACAAAAGAACTTAACGTTAAGAATGAGAGGGGTGTCGCGTGTTGGGATGAAAAATCGTTTCAGTGAGAACGATGATTGCTAATTCCAAGCCAGAGAAAAGCTGGATCATTTCAATTTGCAGATCGTTTTTCATTAGTGTTAACTGTTTATTTATGGAACACTTTTTCATTTTCTGTGCAAGCAAAGTGTTTGTCTTAAGCCTTTCCTTGACTTAATTTGCTAATTAACTTTTAACTCGTTTTTGATTTATGTATTTTAATATTCAAACATTTCAAACAAACTATATACCGCGAATAGTTTAGAGAAGATTGGTTCCTATTTCATTCTTTGTCAAAACGTTCCTGAGACTTCAGTTCCCAAATTGTTCTTCGGGGGAACGTTCCGTATGTTTTTTGTTCGCGTTTTTTCCCATATACGCGTTCTGAAAAGTATTATTCGCATTTTGTTTTTTTTTATTTTTTTTTTTGGAACGTTCCACAAGGTTTTTTTTTGTTCTTATATAATTCCTGTTGAACATGATTTCGAGAGTTTTGTTCTCACTTTCGTTCTTATGAAAACACTGTCCAAGGTTTTTTCTCATTCTGGTTTGGGTTTTTAACCGTTCTTAGGAACAAAACTACGAGAACCACATTTAGTTTCGATCATACCTTTTGTTCTCGGCCTCTGCCCAAAAATGATAACTCAAAAAACTTTTAATTTTTAAAAATTTGCATGCAATTTATTTTATAGAAACTCCTTCAATTCATATAAAACTCATATCCATTAACACTAACAATACCAAAATAAGTACTACACATAAAGGAACTATAGGAAATGCAGTAGGTGAAATGTACTAGGATACATGTCTATACATGTCTACATCTTAACAATTTCTGTGTGACGCTAAAAATTTGCGACAAGCCTCCAAAGTATGACGGCTCAAGTAGTTCTCCTGACTGAACGCCTTAGTGCACTGCGGACACTGATAACTCCAACTGTGATGGCCTTTGGTGCGTTGATGGGCGCGCAAATTGGAACTGTAAAAGCGAAAATGTGGAATAAAAATTCGTTTTTTTTTTGTGCAAAGAATTTCAGTTTCCAATATACCACTTACCGATCAGCAAAACGCTTCTGACACGATTCCGTCGGACAAACGAATGGCTTCTCGCCTGTATGCAAACGCATGTGGCCATGCAGCACCCAAGGACGGTCGAATTTCTTATGACACTGCTCGCATTCATAGCTCTTTTCGAGATGCTTGTAGCGGCGTCGCTTATTCAGTTCAGGCACCGCAAACTCAAAGTCGTGCGACTCCCTTGTTGCAGCCAAGCTTTTTGGTGGTTCATGCCCATACTTCTGCTTCATGCGCGGCTGTTCTGGCGACTCTTTTTTCATGTCACAACTATTTGAGCTCTGCGGTGTTGTTGCAAGTGCTGCCGTCGGCGGTGTACTAATTGACATTGCTGCCGCCAACGGTTGGCCAATGGGCGGTGATTTGCTACTAACTACCTGACTTTTGCTAATCGACGGCAACTCACCGTTGCTGCCCTGTGTGACGGCGGCATTCGACTGTCCCTCATCCGCATCGGCAGACTTCCAGTAAACATGACTGAACGTACCTTTTGAGTTGTGCCCTGAATGGCGCTCCATTAGCGGCGTGTCCAAAATCATTTCGAGTTCGTAGCGCGTTGTCATCGGTATGAAATCACTGTCATACCTTTGAAGTGTTTTTTGTTGAAGTACAATAAACAAATTTTTGTCCGTTTTTTTGTTTTAGAAGGTATTTGAGAAACATGAAAAGAAATTAAAATAAAATTAACTTATGTAAGTTGCAGAACAAGTCTCGTAATTTTGGCTTACCAATCGGAGGAAGGCAACAACTTCTTGTCCTTGGTCTTCGTCTTGTTCTTCTTTTCGGCGATCGGTTTGTGGGTCGAAATGTAGTAGGTGCGTTTCAGTTTCGGCAGCTTGGCGATCTTCGGAAATATTGCTATGCGCCGAAAGACGTCTGTGAAGAAATGTGAAGGAATTTTAAATGTTGGCGATTTTTATTGAGATTTTAAACGCTTACCATCTAGCGCCTCATTAACGCGTATTTTAGCATAATTGTAACGTTGTGAGAAAATACTGCGTACCATCTTTTAGGTAAATGCTTTGGTTAAATTTTTTACGAATAGCTGCTGTGTCGTTCACTGCTGAAAAGAAATAAATTTGAAAATTTTTCGAAAACTCTTTTTAGCTACTTGAGAATAATTTACTTTGTGTGATAAATTCATGGCCAACTAGTCTTGCAAACAAAAAAATGTTGTAAGGAATTTTCTTCTCTAATCTTCAACACAATGCTAATATTTGAATTGCGCAAAGTAGTTTTTTGTCCTGTTTATTTGTAGCTTTTGGGTATGTATGTTAAAGAGAATAATTTTGAGTTGTAATAACAGCTCTGCAATATTTTGCAAAAGCATTTTATTTAGGAGACGAATTGTTGTATATTTAAAATAAACGACGTGTTTTTTTCTAAAATTATTAAGCTTTCCCGCAAACATATTCCGAGCATTCAGAAATATGAGTCCGAAAGGAGTCCTAGGTTGGTAAGAAATATAAGTATCAAAAACAAAAAATTTTTACTCTTAGATAAATCTTTTAGGATTCATATATGATCCAAATTATGAGTAAGCACCTTTCGCGAATATAAAAACAATAAAGATTTGATATTGAAAATAATTAAAAAAAAAAACAAGTAATTTTGGAGTACAAAAAAAAAATGCATGATCCAATGATCGAATCTAAACCAGATTAGCGTGATACACTACCTTTCCTATGCTAAAAAATTCGCCTTATAAAGAGATCGTGTAAGTACTTGGGAAGAAGATATAAAACATTGGTGTACAGGTCAATACTAGAACTGCACTTTATATACTGCCCTACGATTTTCTTCCTCGCGGGGGACTCACATGTAGATAAGCTGCAAAAAATGCAAAACTGAGCGAGGAGATTCATCTTCAACAAGCCGTACGACACAACACCAACAAGATGTATGCTTGAAACAAGTTTTTTACCACGCTATGAAATTTGTGTACAATATTAAGAAGGGCAACCTGCCGCATTATCTTTGCGATAATCTCCGATACATAAATGAGACCCATACGTATATATTGAGACAAAATAACAGCTTCAGACTCCCGAAGTATAGAACGGAAGTGGACAAAAAAAAATTTTTATAAAGGCTTAAAGTGCTTTAATGAATTACCAGAGGCTATAAAAAATTGTGATACTATCTTTTAAGCGGCTGCTGTATGACTATTGTGGAACGCAGCCTATAAGATAGTGATGTATGAACAAAAGCGTGGATCGGAAACTCGGCCTTTCCGACTACCTAGAGTACATTAACTTAGATAATAAACAATGAGCAGATTGGAAACTCGGCCTTTCCAACCGTCACGAAAGCGCGACTGTGTGGATCGGAGACTCGGCCTTTTCGACCACCCAGGGGATATCAAGATACGGAGTAATAGCTGAAATACAATGCCGGCGAACGGCGAACTCACCACAGCGAAATTCGCGCTGTCAAAATTAGAACACCCGCAAGCATATGAAATTGAACACAGCCAAAGCGAAATGCGAAGTTCGCTTGGCGGCGTTTCATGGCGATAGATTTATTTCTATCGCCCTGCTGGGCGATGATAGCTGTGCGTGCCAAAGGTGGCCGTATTTGTTTTTTGCTTTCAAAGTTTTAAAAGAAAACAACCTAAACACGACTTTTTTTTGTTGTTTGAAAAATATAGTTGTGGATTCGTTAAATCAGGCTTGAAACAAATTATTTATAATAATCTTTCTTTGTTTTACATTTATATTTGTTATCATTTCCTCATTTCTAAATATGGTTTAGTTTTTTCTAAATATGGTCACCCAAATTATAAAGGCGACCAAATGGGATCAGCTGTTTTCGCTACCGCTCTAATTCTGTTTAAGTAGGCGAAATAGCTGGGCGAACGGTGAACGACAGCATCGCCCAATTCGGCGAAGTTTGCCGTTCGCCGGTATTGTATTTCAAGCATAACCCAAAAAGTATAGCGCGGATTGGAAACTCGACCTTTCCAACCGTCTACATAACTTGGGGACAATTGCATGCTTTTATACTGATATAAAATAATTGCAGTGATAAAGAAATAATGTTATTTAAAAATTTCTGTAGAGCATATCATATTTAATATTTAAATTTCAAATCTAAATCTAATTATAAGAATGTTAAATCTTTTTTGTGATATAAATCTAACAGACTGTAAAAATAAATAAAGAAACAAATAAATCAGTTCACTATACACAAACTCACCACACCTCACTTCAACTCACAACACCCCACTTAAACTCACCACACCTGTTCTTACACACCTCAATTCACCAAACCTTGATTCATCACAACTGAGCTCATCTTATCCGTTCTCCTCACGCCTCACCTCAATTTGGGAACTATTTCGAGATTTTTGATATTCTCGGAACTAAATTAGAATGTTTCGGGATTTTCGAGACCATTTCGCAATTCTCGAGACTATTTCGGGATTACCGGGACTATTTCGCGATTTTCGGACGTATTTCGGAAATGTCGTTGTATTTATAGATTTTTCTATCGATATATTTATCGATATAGTTATTGATATATTTATCGGTATTTTTATCTATATATTTGTCTATATATTTATCAATATATTTATCTATATATTTAGTCTTGAAATCCCCGAAATAATCCCCATACCTAAAGTTAAAAATCTCGAAGCAGTCTCGAAAATCTCGTGATAGTCCCGAGAACCCCAAAAATTCTAGAAACCTCGAGGTAGTCTCGAATTAGTCCCTAGATTCTCAAATTCTGAAACAGTTCCGAAAATCCCTAAGAAGTCCCGAAAGCTCCAAAGTCTCAAAAATCGCGAAATAGTCTCGAAAGTCCTAAAAATCCGAAGTAGTCTCGAAAATCCCGAAATAGTCCCGACAAACCCGTTAATCCTAAAAAACTTGAAGTAGTCTTGTAAATCCCGAAATAGTCCCTAAATTACCGAAAACCCTGAAATAGTCCCAAAAATGCCGAAGTAGCCCCGAGAAAATCGAAATAGTCTCTAAAATCTCGATATACTCTCGAAAATGCCAGACATCCCAAAGCAGTCTCACAAATTCTGTAATAGTCTCAAAATAATTGAGACTCTGTATTTTTACACTGAGTAAATAGCAAGTATGTATTTAGTATTGTATATAGTCATAAGTACTAAGTGGTTTTGTATCCAGTATTTAACAAGGTCTCTAAATACATACTTCTGAACGCGGTATTTAATGAAGCCAAAGTCTTAGGGCCGGTTGCTCAAAGCCTGGTAGACACTAATCATCGGTTAAGCATCGTTATCGACGTTACCGACACCGTGTTATATGCATGGAGGCGAAAACGTCGATAACGATTTTAACCGACGATTAGTGTCAACCAGGTTTTGAGCAACCGGCCCTTAATGTCCCTATTATTTATAACATTACTGTACATATATAGAAGTGCTGTGGTTGGATTAGCCAGTGTTGGACTTCATGACATTTGCTTACTGCTAATGGTAGTTTTTACCGGTAATAAAATTTTGGTACTTATGATCAAACCGCTTGCGTTCTTTCAGATAAATTCGCCTCATTTCCAACGGAGTTTTCCCCGAGTGAGGACGTAAGAGAGAAAGATGGAGAAAACCAAACTCTTTTTCATTATGAGCCGGAAGAAAACTAAAATTCTTTGCTTCAACGAGTCATGTTGGCATGGTGTATGAGAAATGGGAACAGTAGGTTTCAAGCAAGAATGATGGAATACAAGATTGCAACATATTGCATATTCCCGACGGCGATGGAATTGGTGGGTTAAAAGTAGTGAAGAGGATAAAAGAGAATGTGAAGTTAGTCAATTATTTCCACTTTGGTTGGTGTTGTTTCCGACAGGGTGGGTGTATGATGTATTTTGGAACAAATTTCTGTCATCCCTTTTAAAATTTGGTTTCAGCTGATGCCACAAAAACTTTTGCTTCGTTTTGCGTTCGGTAAGATGAACTGTATGAAAATGCACAACGCATGCCACATAGATCGTTGAAGCTGCAGCGCGAAGCGAAAAGATGCCCAACTCCCATTTTTGCCCGCTTCGCAAATCAGCCAGTTTAATATTTATTTTGTTTCGTCCAAATTCAAGTTTTCATGTAGAAACATAAAACTTAATCACATTGCTGACATTTTTAAAGCAAAATATATAAAATCCACAGCAATTTTGACGAGTAAAAAAACAGTACAAAATTGTTTTCTTGAAGTTCATGTTTTATTTGCTTTAAATTGTGAAAATATATGATTTGTAATCAAAAATTCATAAAGGAAAAGTGTATTTAAGTGCATTTAAAGTATTTGAAAAGTTGTTTACTATAAATCGAGAACTGTAAAAATCGGCAAAACCAAAGTAGCGGTTTGCGGAATGCGTCACCATCTGTTCGCTACATGACATACGCATTTGAAGTATATTGGACAAACTGTTGTATTTCGCTCTAGTAAAAAAAAATCAAAAAAAAAATGCTCCTGCTTTAATTTTTAATTTTTCTGTTTGCCACTTCTGTCAGTGTTGATATAACGCGATTCTTGCATGATTCTCATAACTCCCTTGCTAGAATCTGGCAGCACTCTATACTGACAAGCGAAACAACTTGAAGCGGAACACGACAAAGCAAAAGAACGCAATGGTAATTCGAACACTTTTGTGGTAAATCGTTCGGTTGTTTGCTGTAAATTTATTAATCAGTTTTTAAAAATAGTTTTTGTGTGCGAAATTCCATCAAATAATTTCAGAAAATTCAACTATAATTCTGTGAATTTATTGAGTTGCGCATTGTGACAGAAAAATTGATTGAATTAATGCGGAAGCCAGTTGTGTGAACAGTAAAGAAAAGGGTAAAAGAGTACCATAAAAAAGCTCAGGTCACGACCGCAAAATACGCGAATCATTCTCTAGTTTTGCGTCTGTGTTTTAAATATATTTTCGCATATTCCTTCGGCTTTTGTGAATATTAAACGCGTTACTTTGCGGCATAATAAACTTTTTTCAATCACGAACTTATTGGTGAGTGCAACTTCGTATGCATCAGCTGTT